TTTTCCTGATATTAATTTTTGGGCAAGCCTCCAAGTAGGTTTCCTTGATTTTAGCCTTATGTTAGGTCCAGTGTTTATGTCGTTTTGAATTGGGAGCATTGTATTCGAGAAGCATTTATTCCACTCTCGTATTAGTGAATTGTATCGATGTAGGTGTGGTGGACATAAGTTACTGAGTACAGGCAGCCAATCTATGGGGGTAGATTTAACCGCTCCAGTGATAATTCTCATAGCAGAGTTGAGTTGGGTATCTACTTTATTTGTGTGGGCACTTTGTAACCATACTGGTGAGCAATAATCAGCTACCGATCGTGTAAGTGCTACTGTTGATATTCTGAGGGTATTGCTATCTGCTCCCCATTCTGAGTTTGCTAGTTTTTGGATGATATTGTTCCTTGTTTTCAGTTTTGCAGCAGTCTTTGTCAGGTGTTCCTTGTAGGTGAGGGTTCTATCCAAGGTTACCCCAAGATATTTGGGGAAACGGCTATTTTTAATCACCTGTCCATCAAAAATTACGTCGATTTGGTGATTGGCCATTTTATTGCAAAGGTGGAACAAGGTTACCTCTGTTTTCATTAGATTTGGTTTTAATCTCCAGCGTTTGAAATAATGGTTTAAGGATTCTAGGTCTTTATTTAGGGTTGTCTCACATAGGTCAAATGTTTTTGCTTGTGCTACCAATGCTATGTCATCAGCGTATATATATTTACCAGAGTCTGTAGGTGGTATATCATAAGTGTAGAGGTTGAATAACAGCGGTGCTAGCACTGAGCCTTGAGGAAGTCCATTGTTCAAAGTTTTTTGTTTGCTTTCAGCATCATCAATGATCACTTTGAATAGTCTGTTGCTTAGCATGTTGTTTAGTAATTTACCTAGAGTTTGACATGGTATAATTCGTAGAAATTTAGTAATTAGTCCTTCTCGCCATACAGTGTCATAGGCTGCTGTCAGATCGATGAATGCTGTTGCGGTTTTGAGCTGTTTTTCAAATCCATTCTCAATTCGGGTGGTTAATGCAAGAACCTGGTCACAACAATTTCTTCCTGATCTAAAACCCGCCTGTTCTATAGGGATGACCTGATTTATTGTGTCAGAGATACGATTGAAGACAAGACGTTCAAGCAGCTTATAACTGACGCTAAGCAGGGCAATTGGTCGGTAGCTTTGTACTTCATTGCTTGGCTTGCCTGGCTTAAGTATAGCTAAAATTTTAGTTTTCTTGAAATGCCTTGGGAGTTTGTTGCTACCTATGATGTCTGAGTAAAATTTTGAGAGCCATATTCTAACTTTAGGACCACTATGTTTTATGAATTCTGGGTATATGTCATCAAAGCCAGCTGCTTTTCCAGATTTCATGCATTTGATTGCAGTTGTAATTTCGGTGTCAGTAAAGTCTCTCGCAAAAGTAGATTTTGGTTCAGCATTACGCTTGCTTTCCCTTAGTTCAATTTTAACTTTTGTTCTATACTTGTTATCTATTTTTGCCCTGGAGAGTTCAATTATTCGATTAGCAAATGCATTTGGCTTAATTTCGGTATTATGTTTTTTTCGTTTGTTATTGGGATCGATTTTCCTGAGTAGATTCCACGCTTTTCTGCTAGAATGTTTAAAGTCCATTTCTTCTATTGTATTCATCCATCGGGTTTTTCGTGATATGGAGAGTGAATTTAAGAGTGCATCTGCTGTCTCTGGGTTATTGTTTATATGGTATTCATTATATAGATCGTCACTTTCTTTGCTCCAGCCCGGAATGTACTCTTTTCTATAACCCCTTGGGATGCATTTCTTTGCTGTTTGGATGACCATCTTGACAAAGCGATCATAGTTGTTAGCTTCTGGTTTGATCCATCTTATGTTATCATCCAAGCGTTTTCTGTAATCATTCCAGTCTGCCTTTAAAAAATTCCAACGGGGTTTTAGAATGGAATTTGTGATTGGTATTTGAATTCCAACTTTGATAAAGATTGGTCTATGTTGGCTTCGAGGGAAGTCGCTGAGAACTTGTCTACTTGTTTTTACTGGGAGTCCATGGTTGTTTTTTGTCACGAAGCATAGGTCAGGGTTGTAATCTTTTTGCCATCTTGCAGATCTGAATGTACCTACATCTTTTAGGTCGATCATAAGAGCTAGGTCTTTTTGTTCTACCCAATCGTAAAGTGTAGTCCCATTTTCATCATTAGTGTCATAGCCCCATGCACTATGGTGGCTATTAAAATCTCCAATAATGAGTGTAGGATGTTGTACTTGGGGGAGAATTGTAGCTGTCCACTTCTCACCAGGGGGTTTGTAGACGTTAATTATATTGATTTCCCCTATTCTTATATGGGTAAGTGAGATTATGATTAGTAGGTTGAATGTTATATGTCATCGTGAGATCTAGGACAGTACGATGGCCAAGTTTGGTAAATCTTTTGCCGTCTGAGACGTTGCCCGGGGTACACTGCGTGGAAGCGATTTACCGTTGTACCCCAATTTATATATGACTACATTGTTTGAAATAAAGGTTAAAGATAAAAAATAAGCTTGAGTTAATTACCTAGGTTGTATTAAAAACGTTAAATTATGGTTGTGCTTAGAAATTCATGCACTTAAAAGTGCATAGAATTTCCTCTGCAATATTCTACCACCACACATCCGGCGTAAAAAGGCTGCATGCAGAGAATGGTCAAAATACTTATCTAATACATCCCTTCCATTAAATCAAGACACGTCAAACCAGAATCTTAGGCTAAAATCTAGAAAACCTGCTTATCTAACTACAACCAGACTCATTGATAACCTGTATGACGGTATGAACGAATGGAAACTAGAATGGCAGAATTCTACCATAGACAAGTATAGCCTAATTAAATGCCTGGATAGTCCAGTTCCTGGTCAACAATTAGCCCGTCACGAGTGGGTAACACTTAATCACCTACGTACAGGACATGGTCGCTCCAGAGAGATAATACATAAATGGAAAATGAGAGATAGTCCAGGCTGTGACTGCAACCACCCAGTACAGTCCATCTCCCATATTATAAGTGATTGCCCTCTCCGCGCATTTAACGGGACAGTGGAAGAACTCCACTATGCAACTGACAACGCGGTCAAATGGATAAGGACACTTGACATCCAACTTTAGACAACTATCAAATAATTGACAACATGGAAAAGTTACCCATAGCCTTATTTTTTAAGTTTAATATTGTTTTACCGTTTCGTGAATTATTTATATATCTTTATCTGTATCTAGTTTGTAATGCTTGCATATTATTACCATAAGATAATAATAATAATTATTATCATTCAAAAGTTATATTATGGAATATTTTTTTATAAAATGTTATTGGAAATATTTATTTTGTTTTATTAATTCAACTTTAAATATAAATACTAAATATATAATATCTACACAAACAAAAAAAATTATTAAATCTTTATTATAATTGACAGTATGGATGACCACGGGGACGCGTAAAGGCTCATTTTTAACAAAATGTAATCCTTAAATAATACGTAGTTTTTTGGTTGATTTATTAACAAAATATACATTAATATTAATATTATAATATGCAACATTTCTTAAAATTGGTCAAATATGAAACATAAATTTTTGGTTTTGAGTTGTAGTCATAATGAAACAAATTGGTGTCAAATCAGATTTTGAACAAAGCAGTATCTTAAGAGGACATAATACCCGCATGTGTTGTCTCTGTCTGACTTACGTACATCATGGCAAATTTGCGTTCAGTAGAACACGTTTTGTGATAATAGCTTTAATATTAGAGTAAATTTACCTCTTATCAAATTTTAATTAAGAATATTATCTAAAAAATATCATATGCTTTTATTGATATTATCATTTTAAATTGAGTTATGAACATTTTAATGTTGTAATATTTTACATAGTCATAACTCACTTTAAAATGATAATATCAATAAAAGCATGACATTTCTTAGATAATACTCTTACTTTTAAATTGTATAAGAGGTAAATACACTCTAATATTAAAGCTAACATCACAAAACGTGTTCTACTGAACACAAATTTGCTATGATGTACGTTAGTAAGACAGAGACAACCAATGAGGGTATCACATCCTTTTAAGGAATATAATATACAAATGCATGAAGTTCCAATCCCTGATTATGGATGTTTATATTTAACAGTTTAAAGAAAATATGGAGACAAATATTAATTTAACTCCATTAAAAAAAGACCCGGATTATACATAGTTATTGTAAAATATTAAATATTTAACATTAATATTAAACTATGAAATATTTAACAATTTATCTTTGTTAAAATTATTATTGATACAAATTTTAATTAATTTTATTATAATTATTACAATATTAACAGGGATTTATTTAAATGTAATTTATAAAAAACTGTTTTTTTATTATTTAATATTATAGGTACTGTTAGGTACCCACCTACATTACCATTATCTTGTTGAAGATAAGTCTAGTTGTATGTGTCTATTTCATTTGTTGGCTAAAACGTTTATGTAAATTAAGGAAAATTGAATAATTAAGTGCAGGTTATTAATATAATATTTTAAGGTTTTTTCTTTGTTCAAATTAATACATGAAAATATAAACATTATACTGGTAGATTCTAATGAAGTTATGTATATCATCTTAGAATATAAGAGATAAATACCTTAAATGAAATGTCTGATGTAGAACACATATTTTTATTCATACTGGTCATAATTGGCATCAACTCAGTTAAATCTTGATTCAACTCTACTCCGAGTGCTGTTTAAAAGCTAGAAGAAATCTGTGCAGCTGGAAGAGGTGCAGCTAAAGATTGAGTTTGAGTCGCATGGGCGCCCGCAGGAAATTTATCAGGGAGGGGTATAATGAAACCAAACACAAAAAAATACATTAAAAAAAGTTTATTCCTTGTAAACTACGAAATGTGTTAGAATTATAAAAAAATCCAACACCAAAAAGAACATTAAAAAATATATTCCTTACAACCTAAAAAATGTGTTGGAATTACATGCTATTTATTCGTTATTAAATAAAAACTGAAGTCTTCGTGGTTGTTCTCTTGCAAACCTTGTTATTAACTGTCCAATTAATTTACCTTTTCTTATATCAACTCTTTCACGATGGACACTTAACATACATAGGCCATTTAATCGGTCTTCACCCGTCGTAGATCGAAGCCAAGTTTTAACCCTTCGTAAAGTGCTAAATGACCTTTCGGCTGCACAACTTGTAGCTGGCAAAGACAGAAAAATTTCTAATGCAATTTTAATACCAGGGAAAAATATTTTGCTATGTTCTAGTAAATCTATTATGTCCATACTTTGGCTGACTTTTTTTTGCCATAAGCTATACCAACTTTCACTTTCAGCTAACAGATTTTCAATTTTATATAAATTATAAATATTAGTTATACTGTCAGTGTACTCTTGTTTTTTCATTTTTATAAATAATGCTGGATGAAGGTGTTGTAGTGAAAAAGCAACACTATTACTTTTTTCAAATCTTTCTTTAATACAATGAATTATTTATTATTGAATCTAGATAAGGTAGAAAAATTGATACCTACTCGATAATAATCTTTGGGAGATTCATAAGAATAATTGTTTCTATGTGATTGTTTTCCAGTTATTCTGGGACATGTAATAGTGATTTCAAAATCATCTGCTATAGATTTGGCATCAGTAAATAATAAATCAAAGATTTCATTTGCATTTGTTGTTCTATTGTCTTCTAACATTTTTAACAATTTCTCTACATGTTCCCGAACTTTATAAAGTTAAATTGATACACCTTGTAAAATATTTGTAACCGGTTCTAAGATAGCGCTGTATTTTGCGATTATTTTCATACTAATTATAAATGAAAAATTTGAGGTTGAAGAGTATATATATAGTGCACGTTGTCTTGTATTCGAATTTATAAAACCATTAATAGACAAAGATTGAAGGCTTTGAATTATAACAATACAATTTTCAGAAAATCGCCTAATACTCTTATACTTTGAAGACCAGCGTGTTTCGCAAAAAAGTGGTATATTAGGTATAAGATTTCTTCGAAGGGTACTTTCACGATAAAATGTTATAATTTCTTTTATTGTGCCAATAGTATTGCGAATAACCATAATTTTGTTTAGATCGTTAATTACTAAATTTAATCGGTGACTAGCACAATGGAAATATAAAGCTTTATTAAATCGGTCACGAATTAATTTAGCAACGCCGCCTACTTTGCCAGCCATTGTAGCACAGCCGTCATAACCTTGTCCACAAAATGTACTTAAATTAAGGCCACTATCTTCCATAAATGATAAAATTTTAATAGCAACTGATTCTGCGTCTAATTTATCTAAGGGTATAAAGCCAAGGAATTCTTCTCGAATCTTTGACTGAATCTCTTTGACTGTTTGTCTAAAAATCTAATTATAATAAATTGTTAGCTGCTCAACACCAGAAATATCTGCTGATTCCGTCAGCAATAATGGAAAACGCATTCGCGGCATTAGCTTCACATACTATTTCTTCTTTTAATATTTTTCCACACAATGTAATTAATTCATTTTGAGTTGTATGGGACGAATATTTAGCATTTCCCACATTAGTTAAAAATGATCTTTGAATATCTCATCGCCAGATTCAATACGAAAATTCAAAAGATCGTGAAAAACACCAGAATCTGATTTTTTCCCTCGTAAGGGAAGGTCGTGAGTTCCACAAAACAAAATAGTTGATATAATAGGTTTTAATTTTAGCCTATTAGTTTCTTTTTCTTTATGCAATCCAGAATTTATTTGTTCAATAACACTAATTGTTTTACCATTCATAATATCCATAAAATATTTTGCTCTTGACATTGATTCAGTGTGCCAATTTGAAGACAAATGTATTTTAGAAGATGCATTAAAATCCTTATACTTCGTAAACGGTTTTATTATAAATCCACCTTGTACGCCTCTATGAATTGATGCCTTGAACAACACACATATTCTACAAAAAGCTCCTTTCACACCCTCAAGAGCTGAATATGTCAACCACAAACCGTTCTCATGGAACCATTGATATCTAAATGCTCGAGTTCTTCCTGATTTTAAATCACTTTTAAAGTCATAAGTAGTATTCGGTACCCAAGGGTTACGTAAAAGTTCATGTTTTAAACAATCGTCAATATTTTCGACGTTCAAATAATTTCCAATACCTTTTTCATAGGTTAAGATTATATGACCACGGTTATTTTTTGTATTCATGGTAACACAATGGAAGCACTTTCAACTATACACAATTCCGACGACTCCATATTGACTGTACTATTATTTATTTCAATTGAAGTAGTGCCAGTAGAGGCTTCATTAAGAGAATCACAAAGCTTGGGTTTTTTAAAAAAAATTCTGATGTCCATAACAATATTAACAATAAAACAAAATATTAAATATACTAAATACAATACGTACGTAATTTAGCGTGGTCCGTGTTACTCAGTAGCAAATAATTTAATTTTACAATTATTACAATAATTCCCAAAGTGATATTCTACGTTTGATTTATTTTTAGTTATCTCAGTTATCTGACAGACGTCGTGTGCGTATGTGTGAGTGGTGCGTCGGTCGTCATAAGTGGTTTACACACTAAGGGCCGTTCTTACAATGTCCGGTTAAAGTTAACCGACACTTAACAGGCCTAATTCTGCCGGTAATATAATGTGTTATCAGTCGGTTAGCGTTAACCGACACTTTACAGGACATTGTAAGAACGGCCCTAAGCGATTAATATCAATTCACAGAATTTAAACGTATTTAATTTTGAGCGATTAATGTATTCTAGTATTTATAATCAATGGTTATACGCATCATTTTGTACGCCTTATAATAATATATTGTTATTATGATCAACAACCTCACACGGCACACACTAAAGTAAAAATATCGATGAAATGTTAATAAATCAAAATAAAAGTTAAAATGTTCAAAATTCTATTTGAATTCCAGGGGGGGGGGGCAAATGGGGTACCTATTTGAATTTCAAAATTCTGTTAAATTATTTTAATGTTTAAATAAATATTGAAGTATTTTATTAAGAAAAGTATTCTAAAACTTGCTGAAATAATTTTCTCATATAATTAGTATTCTTGTACCCATGCGGTATTTTATATAATGTAAATAATGATGTGATTTATACATTTGTGTATTTTTTAATGATACCTAAAATAAGTATATATATATAATATATTCTTTAAGTATTATTAAATATAACATTAATTTTATTTATTCATATTCTAATTATTTATTTAATTGCATATTACGATAAACTACGGACTACAGCATTATATTATATTACCTATTAAGTCTACAAATTCTGTGGTAGACCGCATTCAAAAATAATACCAGATTGAAATTTACAACACTAGGGAGGTACCTAGGATCAGTACTTAGTACCTACATATTTTTGGTGAAGATATTCCGAACTCAAGATTTTAACAAACAACAAACATTATTTCTCAACAGCATTGGTGAGGTGAGCTATTTTAACACCGGGAGGGAAGATTTTTATCTACCCACCCACCCAAATCTACGCTCGCTGTACATATCAAGGCTTAATGCACAATACATATTATATATTCACGTAATACAGCTCAGAAAATTTTTAAATAATATAATATTTTATGGTTTAAACATTTAACATATTGATAATATACTTACCTACTGATTTTAAACGTATTCACTACATATTTGTTAATACCTAATTTGATTATCTATAGTAGCTTATTATTATTTTATATATTATACACATATTTATATATCCATTATTTTAGTAATTCATTACTTCTAGTATTGTCTACGTATATGTCAAATATTAATACCTACCCACACACATTTTGGAAGAGCGGCTGCTCAACAGGGACCTATTATATTATAATATTGTTCATAAACTTACCTTTCGGCATTGCTGATTAGAAGACATTGTTAGGTACCTACCAAATATTTTGTTTGAAATCACTTATTAAAACAATATAGTTAACTGTTGAGTTAATAAAAGTGCACAGTACCGTACTACCGTCAGTACAAAATAGTCGATCAATCGGATGCATCTCAAAATAATTCTAAAATACTGAATCACATTAATTGTGTAATAATTACACAGTACACACACAGAGACACAGACACACAGATAAAATAATAAATATTAGCTGCCCGACCACCCGCAACCCGCACCAATATAATATTTGTAGCTGTTATAACTATTTATTTATTTACGGAATAAATCCATTTACAATATAAATATATAGTGTACAGTGTAACAAAACATATGATGAATATTTAGTTTAGTGATTACATATTATTTAAACCTAGATATACCTAGTATAAGTATAGTTTACAATATATTAAATATAATTACATTTAGACTGAATTAACAGTGTACAATTAAAAACATTGAAACAAAACAAAAAATACATTTTAAATAATCAAACATTAAATGCTGATTTAATACTATTTATATTACAAAAAAACAAATCTAAATTAACTGAATTTGCAATAGACATCAGTGAATTTATTGGGGAGGAAAAAGAATAATTGGTTCGTATAATTTTCAAAGTGAATAAATCGTTATTTCTAGTTAAATTAATTTTTGCTTTAAAATTTAATCTTTCTAGTATTTCTTGGCATTCAATTTTGTTATTTAATAAATTAAAAAGAAAAATGTAAGCTAGATATTTTCTACGATTTCTCAAAGTAGGTATGTTGAAAAAACCAGATACTCCCTCATAACTAGGGATGGACCGAATATTCGGTAGTTATTCGGTATCCGGCCTATTCGGTCGATATTTTGGTATTAATTTATATTCGGCTATTCGGCGTACTTTAATAATATTCGGTCAAGAATACAATTTAAGTACTTGCTAGTTGATAGTTGATATTTAAATTTTTAAATTAAATAATATAATCATTAATCACTAAAACCTTGTATAATATTATGATCTAACTGTCTAAGCCTTAATCAGTACTCAGTAGGTATTACTTATCAGTTATAAGGTAATATATAAAGTAATATCACGTATCTCGATTTTGGCTATTAATTGTTCTGGAGAGACTGATAACTGATTTATTCAAACACCAACCATGATTACCAACATATTTTAGTATTATTATATTTAGTATAACACATGAATTAACCTCAAAATTATTACTGTTGTTTATATTATAATATGACCACAAAGAGGTTATACAACTTTTGATACCAAAATCTCATTTTCATCAAAAATCGAGATACGTGATATTACCGTAGTCCGTAATACCGTGTCACCAACGATTTATTTCTTTAATTAATTCTATTTTTTAAATTATAATCTAATACGGATGTTAATGTCACTAATATTACTTTATCATGAGTTCAACAAGCAAATGTGGTGTTTGGGAATATTACACATTATGCGACAGTAATAAAAGGTATGCTATTTGTAGTATTTGTGAAAAAAAACTATCTAAAGGAGGAATAGGAAAATATGCTTCTACATCGCCATTATTAAATCATTTAAAAATGATACATGAGGTGGAATATAAAGACCTATTAATTAGTAATGAGTATGAGACTTCAAAAAAAACTCAAAATAAAACTGTTAACAGTTTAAAAAATTCACAACCAAATGTCCAACTTACTTTACCTAATTTTATCGATAGACAAACCGAATGGGATATAAACAATCAAAAAGCAAAAGAAATCCATTATGCTATAGGAAAAATGATATCATTAGATAATCAACCATTTAGCGTTGTTGAAGACCACGGATTTAAGCAACTTTTAAAAAAACTACAGCCAAAGTACAAAACTCCTGGTAGAAAATATTTTACTAATACAGTTATACCAAATATGTATACTCAAGTTCATGAACAACTATTGAAAGACATTGAATTAGCATCTTATATTTCCATTACCACTGATATTTGGACAGCTAACAATAATAATGAAAGTTTAAGTGCCCATTGGCTAACAGGTGATTTTAATAAATGTCATGCTGCTCTCAGTTGTCAACACTTCCCAGAAAGGCATACTGGTGAAAATATTTGTAGTATGCAACAAAAATTAACATCAAAATGGAACATAAATAATAAAATTCATATAATTCTTAGAGACAATGCATCAAATATAAAAAAAGCTTGTAATGACGCTAATATCCCAAGTGAATCTTGTTCCATTCACACATTGCAACAAGTCATATCTGATTTGCATTCTTCACAAATTGATCTTAAAAATTCCATAGAGAAAGTAAGAAAAATTGTTGGTCATTTTAACCACTCCCCATTATCTTGTACAAAACTAAAGGTAATTCAAAATGAATTAAAATTACCAGAAAAAAAAATGACCCAAGATGTGAAAACTAGGTGGAATTCCACATACTACATGGTCGAACGCTTTATTGAACAGAAAAAGTGTATTTCTTTGTATAGTGCTGAAAATAATATTACAAATATAAGCGCAAATGAGTGGAATATATTAGAGGCTTATTTACAGCTACTCGAGCCATTTGAACAAATAACTAAGTCCATGAGTCGAAATGAATCAATTATTTCTGAATGTATACAGAAAATTATTTAAACTCTTTTACTCCAAGTTTAGAAATTATAAGATTACTAAAAGAAATTATAATTCAAAAGTTACAACTTCGATTAGACAGTTTAGATTTAGAAAATGAACTAAACTATTCAATTGCAACATTTGTCGATCCACGTTTTAAAACTAAAGTCTTTAAAAGCAAGGATTCTGCTGACAACACAAAACAAATTATCTGTGAGAAAATAATTGAGGAAATTGAAAAGAAGAAAACAGAAATGATTACTTCAGAAGATGAAAGAACCAATACTGACACTGAAAATTCTCCTGAAGATCCAAATTTAAACACAGAAAATAATGAAGTTAATTTACCAACTAAAAAAAGATCAATTTGGGACTGTTTAGATGCAATTACTCAAATTCCTCAAACTGAAGAAAATGGGCAATCTGATGGTGTTAGAAATGAAGTGAAAACTATGGTCAACAATGAAGTCACCAATTATCTAAATTCTGGATGTATAAAAAGAACTGATGACCCATTAAAATGGTGGGAAAAAAATGCACGTGACTATCCAAATTTGGCTGAAATGGTAATGAAATATTTATCTGCTCCTGCTACAAGTGTATATAGTGAAAGGTAAGCTAAATTACAATTTAAGTATTTAACACATTTAAAATATTAAACTTAATATACTTACTATAATATTATATAAATTATTATATTAACTTTGTACATATTTAGTATTTAGTATTCACTATTTAGTGTTTATTAATTTATTATTAACTATGATATTTATTCAGTTTCCTACTTCAAAAAAATAATATTTTAACTTTCAAGTTTCAACAGAAGGTATTAGTTATATTTTAAATGGTTACCACTTACCAGTTTACCACACAAAAATTAAAAATTTTTTTAGTTTAATTAGGTATAACTTTTATGGATTTACCTATAATTTAAGATATTGAATTTTATGTGTTACAGATTATTTTCTGAAGCTGGTACCATCTATGAAGACAAAAGAAACAGATTATTACCCAGAAATGCAGAAAAATTGCTTTTTTTACATAATAATCTTTTGAAAACCAACGTACAATTTAAATTTTGATATAATATATATTGTATAATTCAGTTATAGGTTTATTATTTATTTTGTACCTTTGAACATTTGAAAATTGAAAGTTCATCAATCATCTCATATTATATTATTATCTGGTCATTGTATTTTATAATTAAATTACATATATAGGTTTATTTTGTACTTATTAGTTATTAGTAATAACTTATTACTTATTACAATTTACAAGTTTGTACTTTGTAACCAATACATTTTTTAAAGTGTTGTTATTTGTTCAATTTTTTTTTAGATTTTGTATTTATAGTTTATAAATGGTTTAAAATTTTTAGAATAGTCCAAACTCCAAAGATACATTTAATAAAATATTAGTAAGTGAAATCAATTAAGAAAAGCTCTCATATAGTCATATTAAATTTATAATTAATTAGTAAATACTAAATAGTAAATAGTAATATGAAAGGATCTCATACTATCTTGTCAAAAATTAAAATTATAATTTATAATAAATACATTTTCTAAGGTATTATGAAATAAAATTGTTTTTGAAAAGTATATTGCTGTACGTCTTTAATCAGTTTAATCTTTAATCCTTATAGCTTATACGTACTTACTATGTAGTTATGTTACTAGTTACTAGTTTACTACTTACTATGTTTGATATCAATATTCTTTTTAATATTGTGCACCGAATAACGCCGAATATTCTGTGCCGGATCCCGAATAATATTAATTTATATAACATTCGGTATTTTTAGGTGTAGAAAACAAAATATTCGGTATTCGGTTTTTCCAATATTCCTAGTTCAGCACATCCCTACTCATAACCTGAATGTGAAAGGCGTTCTACATTACATTTGAAGGATAAAAAGCGTAAAAAAGAATTTTGAACGGAATCAAGAGTTTGATTTAGAATTAAGGAATTAGGAGACCAAATGAAAGCAGCATATTCACTTTATAGTCACTTTTAGTCACCTAAAAAAAAAAATTGATCACTTTTCTCACTTTTTTAATTCATTATTTGAGTTGCAGCCCTGTACTCATAACTCGCTTATAAATTTAAATATAATAAAAAGCATATGAGATTGTCTAGATAATTATCTTACCTTTAGATTTTATAAGAGGTAAATTCACTCTAATTTTAGTAATATGAGACCTGTACCAAGCTAATGTAAGTTAAGATTCTTAAGTTAGGTGATAAGACATTCCTCAGAATACTAAAAACATAAAAAAAATGTTCGTGTAACATTATTTAAATAATTAATATGTGTTGTATAATCTACATTAGAAACCTTTGTTTTATTTCAGAATGCATTTTAGAAAAATTACTGCTCTGGTGTTGCGGGAGTTTGTCTCCCGCAACCCAGGCACCAGTGATCCCGATGATGTGACGAGGGCTGACTTTATAGCCTGGTGCACAGACATTACATTAAAGAATGACGTTGCCCAGGCAATAATTAGGAATGTGTGTGGTCAGGAGCTAGCTTCTGACCACCACGGTTCAAAGGCTGTAGGGTGGTGGTTGGCTGACCCCAAAACCCTTGCAAACGTAAGTTTTCCTTCTTCTTAAATATTTATGATAATACTTATTCAGCAACACCATATTATATCTCCCCCCTATTAAACATTTTTGAATTCTGATTTTTGCAAATTATTAATGACCCTAAATTAATAACAATAACAAATTGCCTTGCTGGTTTATTATTATTATTATTATTATTAAATGCATATTTAAGAAAAATTTTACCCCACAAGTCCCCTTATTTGAATAAATGAAAAGATATTATGTAAAATTGTATACATTACTGAACTAGTTGATAAGCCTTACACCTAAATTAAAAGAGGGGGGTTCATAAATATATTTTGTTTTATGGTGCTTATTAATATGCAAAAATCAGAATTCGGAAACTTTTAATAGAGGAGGGAGGATAATCTAGTGTTGCCGAATTTTTTAACACATTTTTTCTATTTTTTTATGTGATATTCCCCATCCCCGGTGGAGAAGCGAAGCCCAGGAGTAAACAGCTTGACCAAACGAAGGAATACCCTCCTTTTTGCTTTAAAATTTAGTCTTTCTAGTATTTCTTGGCATTCAATTTTGTTATTTAATAAATTAAAAAGAAAAATGTAAGCTAGATATTTTCTACGATTTCTCAAAATAGGTATGTTGAAAAAACCATATACTCCCTCATAACCTGAATGTGAAAGGCGTTCTACGTTACATTACGACCCAACGATTACGCCAGGGGAAAACCTAATAATTTTATAATAATATTACCTATAGCACAATTTCTATTAATAAAGTAGGAATCGTGTGCGAGTATTTTAATCGGTGTAAAGTGTAAACAAAGCAATGATAGCCCCAAAATGCCTTATTGATATTTCAATGCGATGTTCCGTATGAATCACAAAAAATACATCGCATAGATGTTGGCAACACAAAATGTTTTGTACATTCATTACCTATGAATATCTACCTATTTTATTTTTGTCATAATTTAATACTATTGGTCATTAAAGGTATATTCGTAATCTACCCATACTTATTAAAATGCCATTACATAGGTATGTTTATGTTTAAAGACCTATTACGAGATTAATTATCAGAGTCGTGTGTCATTTCGGTCTTAGTAGTTCTACGTTTCTGTTAGTTATTGTCAATTGGTAATATAAAGTTTGAGTTTTGTCTAAATAAAAATTCAATCATGAATAATCATGAAAAAGTTCAGTTACTGTTGATTTATGGAAAATGTAACAGAAATGCACGTGAAGCAACAATGATGTACTCCCGCCAATATCCAGATAGGTACCATCCTCATTATACTTATGTTCAAAAACTTGAGAAGTCGTTAAAAGAAAATGGTTCGTTCAATAGAACAAATGCTGTTCAACAACAACCTCGTGTAAATCGAAATTTAAATGAGGATATTGAAAATCAAGTCTTGGCATACGTACATCTTAACCCACGTTCGTCTGTTAGACACGTTGGACGTGAAGTTGGCGTATCCAAAACATTAGTTCATAAGATTTTAAAGAAATACAAACTACACCCTTACAAACCAGACTTTGTCCAAAATTTACGTATAACAGACCCAGAAAAAAGATTACATTTTATTTCTTGGTTTACGGTGACGTCTGAGGATGATCCATTATTACTTAATAATATTTTATGGACTGATGAAAGTAAATTTACTAATAATGGAGTATTAAACAAGGAAAATAATCGTTATTGGTCGAATGATAATCTTCACTGGGCTGTTCCTACAAACTTTCAAACATGTTGGGTACAAACGTATGGATTGGTATGATTGGTGGTGGACAGTTACTAGGGCCTAATTTCTACGACGGAACTTTAACGGGAAGAAGATATTTAGATTTTTTGCGTGATGATTTGCCACTTTTTTTAGATGATTTACCCTTAGACACACGTAGAAACATGAACTATCTACAAGATGGGGCACCTGCTCATAATTCCCGAATTCTACAAGAATTTTTAAAAGTAAGATTTGGTGAAAAATGTATTGCAACACACTAACACACTAAGTGGCTTCCAAGGTCACCTGACCTTACACCGTTAAATTTTTTTTTGTGGGAACATTTGACAAATGCTGTATATACAGATCCTCCAATCAACATTCAAGACTTAATAAATAAAACGCGTGTAACCTCTTGAATGAAAATCAAATACTGTCAGCAACTAATCGTGAATGTTCACGTCGATTTGAAGCATGCGTTCTAAATAAATGGAGGAACTTTCGAACAATTTATCGAGTAACTTATGTTTGTGATTTATGTAAATTGAATTGTAAATAAAAAATGTGTAGTAGAGTTTAAAATAATAAAATTAAAATTAAAAAAAAATGTTAACAAAATAATTTTTTTTAAATGTTTTTTTTTTTTAATTTTTAATCTCTTTCATTCGGTGAATATTGGATTGAGAGTAGTATTTGTTAGATCAAAATTACTTAAAAAAAATCCATTAATCCGAAAATTATATTCAAAATAGGGGTTGTGATTTAAAAAAAGTGAAGTTGTGTTGCGCATGCGTAAAATACGTGAGTAAAAAAAATCCGAAAACAAAATTGAAAAATATGTACAGGGTAATGAGTATGGTAAAGTGTACCCTGTTTCCGCGGACACACGGTATAAGTATATTATAGATTGTCAATATTGAGTACATTTGAGCATAATAGTCAAACTTTTATTTCACTGCGATAAATATTTTTTGTATTATTATAGAGTACCCACTAATCAATAATACAGGTTTAAACAATTAAATCTGAATATTATTAAACTCTGCAAGTACTTATTTCAAAGTTATGTTTGTTGTGGGTTGAGTACTCGAGTGCAATAATATCAACTATAGTGAAGAGAGACAGATGCATTTAAATAATATTGGAATTATTGTGTCTTATTGGTATGAGTTTATTATTCGTTCGTTATCTTAAATAATTATTGTCGGTAGGTACAATACTTCTCTGTGTTCAATATGAAATGGAATCCCGTGACCTTCCCGAATCGCACACACCTGGAACGACCTTTGATAATATATTATTGTTTTCAGTGATGACGGGCTGTCCCAGCTAAAATGCAGCAGCGTGTTGTTATTTTGGGACAGTCACCAATATTTATAATGAAAGGTTGTTAAAAATTTCTAACTGCAATAAACTGCGAATGTTCCCGATTTTTTAAAATTATTGTGAATTTGCGATCTTTTTTGGAATACACTAATAACAATTTATAAGGATTAATTAAGGAATCTTGTATTACATTATTCATCGGCGGGAATATTTAATATAACAAACAAGAATACCGACAAGTGACAACTTTTCATGCCTAGAAATAGCTCAAAAAGAGTCAAAACATTAAGAACATTTTATTACGTACAGAAAATGACCATATAAACATTTCGTGAAAATTGTTTTTTTTTTGTGCCCGTGTACACGAAAGTAGTCGATATAATGCTTCAATTTTTAACATCAGTATTTATTCCTAGTAGTTTTCAAAAGAACCAGGAAAAACAAAAAAAAAAAAAATAAGGAAAAACAGAAATTTGTACTCAAATTCGATTTTGGGGGGTCCAAATTAAAAATGTCTCAGTAGTTTTCAAAAGCGCCATAAAAAACAAAAGAAAAATTAATGAAAACGGTAATTTTTACGAAAAATAGATTTTCGAGAAAATTGATTTTGGTTTTTAAGTATAACTCTAAAACAAATGAACGTATAAACATGACATTTTCACTGGTAGTTTATATTCGCATTTTCTATACACAATAACATTTTCAAAATATTTTGATTTGTTTTTAACTGTTTAGAAACATTTTCAGTTTCCAATTGTATTATTTTTTTTCCAATGAATATCAATAAAATTTTATTTGTTGGTGAAAAATGCCTGAAAATTCAATAGAAGGTTCCTAGTATTTGTTTCAAAGGCAGATGACAAAAATAAAAAATCCATAGTCGCAATTTTTTTTATAAGCATTTAAATTCCGTCTATACCTACTGGTCTAAAATGTTTATTTCAATTTATTAATACAGATTAATTTCCAACGGAGTTTGGGCCTCACTAAGAAAGGGCCAAGTCATATAAACGCTGTACATGCATATCTACTTGGTTTGTTTATTTGTTCACGGTTTCTTAGATTATACGTGCTTACCAAGTCCTCTTTTTTGTCTAGGTCAGTTTCATTCGTAATTTCGTTTATACTGTATTGTATTTCTTCACGTTCATTTTCATTTATTGACACCTCGTTATTAGTTATTTCATTTTAAAAATAACTTCTCTACTTACATTAATTTTGTTTGTTTCCGGGTACCATACTCTGTATCCTTTTACATTTTCTACATACCCGACAAATATTCCCTTTTCACTTTTAGGGTCCCATTTTTGTCGATTTTGTTTTGGTATATGTGTAAAGACATTTGTACCAAAAACTAGATGTTTTATTTCCGGTTCTTTTCTAAAATAAATTTCAAACGGGGTTATGCCTTTAATTGAACTCGTACCTGTTCGGTTAATTGTATAGACAGACGTATTAATACTTTCGGCCCAGTGGTCTATTTAAATTTTTCGTATATAACATAGTCCTTGCGGCTTCCGATTCTCTCGTTCGATCTTCCCGTTTTGTTCCGGTGTATATGCAACTGTTGTTTGATGACTTATTCCATACTTCTGTAAAACACTAGTTGTTTCTTTATTAACAAACTCTAAGCCACTATCTGTTCGCAATACTTTGACCTTAAAACCAGTATCAGTTTTTATTTTACTTATCAAAGTTTCGATTAAATCTTTTACTTCACTTTTATGTTTTATAAAATGAACTATTCTAAAATGTGAATAATCGTCTTTAAATAATAAAAAATATTTTGAACCCCCAATAGAATGGAAACGTTTCAATCGGTCTGCATAAGTCCACATAAGTCTGCGTGTATTATTTCTTCCACAACTGTTGTGTTCGTTGTACTAGACTTAAACGTTTGTTTGTGTTGTTTACCAATTATGCACGCATCACAGAAAAAATGATTTTTGTTATCTGACACTTTTATACTAGGTTTTTCTAATATATTATTAACATACTTTATATTTTGGTGACTCAACCTTTCATGCCATAACTGCAATGTGTCTGATAATATTATTTGCCTGTGGTTCTTCTTTATCGAGCGTAAGGACTTTGAACTCTAATTTAAATAGTTTTCCTTGTAGTTCACCTGTATAGACTATTTGTCCGTTTATTGAAAACACACACTTATTTTTATCTGATGAAAGCGTTAAACCTTTATCTAATGCTGTACAACACGAGAATAAATTGTATTTTAACTTCGGCACATACAATACGTCTAAATCGTCTAATAAATAATTATTATTCCATTTATTGTTCGCAAATGATAATATTTTGATATTACCTTTTCCTTTTGCTAACAAAATTGACCGTCACCTATTCTTACTTGAATTGGTTCGTCAAATAATACGTAGTTGTAAAACCAATTTATTTTTCCACACATATGATCGGATGCTCCTGAGTCAAGTAATCAACTCTCCTCAATATCTTTTGTACTAACTGTTCCAGTAATAAACGCACTGCCTTCATCACTTTTAATTGTTTCTCCGTGTGTTCTCTTATTTTCTTGATTTCTTAAGTTCTGTCTCGTCCTTTTCTGTCTTAGTTATTTTGGAACTAGGCTTTTTCCACTCTCCTGTTATTATTGACGTTAGTTCAAATGAGTTGAAAATTACCTTCATTTGAAATTTCCACAACGGCCAATTTCCCGCGTTAGATAATTTCGTTATTTTCACTAAATCGTCCAGCTTGACTTTTCCTGTTTATAAAACTTTGAAGAATAACAAAAATTACTTGTGTAGAGAGTAGTTCCTCTGAAGTCCAAGTTTATCCAGATAATGTGTCTGGGCCCATAACCTGTTGAGTTTAGGATTATGTTTGTAGATTGATCTGGACAAAAATGACTACACTGTTTTTAGTAATAAGTAATATTTTCTAAACACATGACTTACACATAAGTAATATTATAATGTAGTAACGACAGTATGCTAAAAGTCGGCCTTATATACAAGTGACGTATTGACCTAAGTCTCACGCCATTGTTTAACAATATCTGATTCGCTATTAAATATATGGCGTGATTTTGCACATTATTAATAGCAAAGATGTTGTTGTTGCACAATATGATGATTCTTTATACAATATTAAATTATATTCAACAATTACAATAAAACATGTATGCGATATTATATAATTATTCCATAAAAATAATATTTATATGTCAACAACTAATATTCTATACATGTTTATGATTTATCAATGACACGATATTACAATGAAACATGTATACAATATCATAAAGTTGTTTCCTACAAATTTAAAATAATTGTATTATATAGTTGTGATGACTGTTAGTCAGGAGTGACACCAAGGGCGAGGGCACACGTGTGCCTTCCCGATTTTATTTTTTAGTGCAGGCTAGTGGCTTCACATTATTCAGAAATTGTGTGTTTAATACACGTCTACGTTCCATAAAGAAATCAAGTATACTTAAGTTATTTTCAATTTTCGCTTTGTGCTATATCCACGTAGGTGAAAATAACTTACATTGTTTTGATCTAAGTCCCCCTAAGTTCTCCCATTGGGGGCAACGGTGTATCATGGCTAATAGGTGACATACAGCTAAATTAAATTTGTGTACCTATCCAATGTATTGATTGCGCGTTGCTATTTATTATAATTCACCAGAGAATCTGGTTTTAACAAAAAAACGACACAAATTTTTTAGAAAAACTGGTACGAAAAGACAT